GATTACAGGCTTGAGCCACCGCGCCCGGCCACAGATTTGTATTTCTTTTCTTTCTTTCTTTCTTTTTTTTTTTGAGATGGAGTTTTGCTCTTGTTGCCCAGGATGGAGTGCAATGGCGCGATCTCAGCTCACTGCAGCCTCTGCCTCCTGGGTTTAAGCAATTCTCCTGCCTCAGCCTCCCGAGTAGCTGCGATTATAGGCATGTGTCACCACGCCCGCCTAATTTTTTGTATCTTTTTAGTAGAGACGGGGTTTCACCGTGTTGGCCAGGATGGTCTCGATCTCTTGACCTTGTGATCCACCCATCTTGGCCTCCCAAAGTGCTGGGATTACAGGCGTGAGCCACCGCGCCCGGCCTTGTCTTTCTTTTACTTCCTTTCTCATCTCCTTTTCCTATCCTTTCCTTTCTCTCTCTTTTTTTTTCTTTCCTTCTTTTCTTTCTCTCTTTTTTTTTTTTTAGACAGACTCTCACTCTGTTGCCAGGGCTGGAGTGCAGTGCAGTGGCACAATCTCGGCTAACTGCAACCTCTGCTTCTCAGGTTCAAGCGATTCTACTGCCTCAGCCTCCTGAATAGCTGAGATTATAGGCATCTGCCACCACGCTTGGCTAATTTTTTCTATTTTTAGTAGAGATGGAGTTTCACTATGTTGACCAGGCTGGTCTCAAATGCCTGACCTCGTGATCCACCTGTCTCGCTAGTTTCCCGAAGTGCTGGGATTACAGGTGTGAGCCACTGCGCCCAGCCACTCTTTTCCCTTCCCTTTCCTTCTCCCTTCTCTTCTCTCTTCCCTTCTCCCTTCCTTCCTCCCCCTTCTCTTCCCTCTCCTTCCCTCCCCTCCCTTCCCAGCCCCTCCCCTTCTCTTCCCTTTCCCTCCCTTCTCTTTCAGACAGGGGCTCTCTCTGCCACCCAGGCTGGAGTACGGTGAGGCAATCTTGGCTTACTGCAACCCCCAACCTCCCCCTCCCCCCCGCTCCGCCCACCGCCAGCTCAAGTAATCCTCCTGCCTCAGCCTTCCAAGTAGCTGGGTCTACAGGTGTGTGCCACCACATCCGGCTATTTTTTTTTTTTTTTAAGGTGAAGTGTTACTCTCTTCAGCCAAGCTGGAGTGCAATGGTGTGATCTCAGCTCACCGCTCCCTCTACATCCTGGGTTCAAGTGATTCTCTTATCTCAGCCTCCCAGGTAGGCAGGATTACAGGTTTCCACCACCACACCTGGCTAGTTTTGTATTTTAATAGAGATGGGGTTTCACCATGTTGGCCAGGCTGGTCTCGAACACCTGACCTCAGGTGATCTTCCCGTGTTGGCCTCCCTAAGTGCTGGGATTATAGGTGTGAACCACTGCGCTCAGCTAATTTTTAAAATTTTATAGAGATAGGGACTCACCATGTTGCCCAGACTGATCTTGAACTCCTGGGCTCAGGTGATCCACCACCTCGGCCTCCCTAAGTGCTGGGATTATTAGGCATGTGCTACCATGCCTGGCCCAGATTTGTTTTCATACATTTTTATAATAGCCATTTGTGTATATAATTTGTTCTTTTTGGGGCCCTATGTATTTTATCTTACACACTTAAGGACATTTTTCTTTTTTCTTTTCTTTCTTTCTTTCTTTTTTTTTTTTTTGAGACAGAGTCTTGCTCTATCACCCAGGCTGGAGTGCAGTGGCTTAATGTTGGCTCACTGCAACCTCTACCTCCCTGGTTTAAGCAATTCTCCTGTCTCAACTTCCCAAGTAGCTAGGACTATAGGTACATGCCACCACACCCAGCTAATTTTTGTATTTTTAATAGAGACAGGGTTTTACCATATTGGCCAAGCTGATCTCAAACTCCTGACCTTGTGATCCGTCTGCCTTGGCCTCCCAAAGTGCCGGGATTACAGGCATAAGCCACTGCTCCTGGCCAAGGACATTTTCCTGAGAAAGATGATTGGGCTTTTTAAGACTGTCAAACCTTTTTATTAATAAATATCAATATTTATTTGCTGCCAAATAAAAGGTTAAGGGCATCTCTACGGCTATATTCTTAGAGACTCAGGACCTGCCTCTACACTTCACCCTGAGCCTTGTCTTGTCTGTTTCGTTCAGCCTCCATCCGTTTGGCCACTACCAGGGCTCTCCTTCTGACCAGTCTGTTTTAACTGAGGACTTCTTTGGTCCTAAATTGACTTCTCGTCTTTCTGAGGCTGCCTCTTCATTTACCACCTCTGCTCTGGCAGTGCAACTCAAGGGTAGTGGTCCTGCTGTGGCACCTGGTCCAGGCAACGACCCACAGTGCTGTGACTTCGGGACTGCCATACACCAGCCAGAAGGTATGTCAGCCACCCAGGGCCCCAAGGCTATCCAAAAAGCTGATTGCCCTTAGCAAAACAGTAGCATCAGGCCGGGTGCGGTGGCTCACGCCTGTAATCCAAACAATTTGGGGGACCAAAGTGGGCAGATCACTTGAAGACAGGAGTTTGAAACCAGCCTGGCCAACATGGTGAAGCCCTGTCTCTGCCCAAAAAAAAAGTACACAAAAAAATCAGCCAGGTGTGGTGGCGAGTGCATGTAATCCCAGCTACTCGGGAGGCTGAGGCAGGAGAATCGCTTGAACCCAGGAGGCGGAGGTTGTAGTGAGCCAAGATTGCAGGACAGAGCGAGAGTGAGACTCTGTCTCCAAAGAAACAAATAAACAAAAAAAAACAAAAAAAAAAAAAAAGAAGAAAGAAAGAAAGAAAAGAAAAACAGCTAATCAGCAGTACAGAATGGGAATTCCTGCAGTTCCATGTCCCGTGGACCTATTTCTGCCTCCTGAGGGGTTGGCCCTGCTTTGTGGCTTCCCTGACCACATCATTTCATATTTTGGCGCCTGGCTGATGACCTGCATTTGTAGTGCCACACGTGGCCTTCTAGATTGAAGAGGCCTGCATTTCTGTTGCTCACTTAACCCTGTCAGTGGCCATATGGAAAATATCCAGCTCCCACAGCTCATCCCTGCACAGCCCGTCTGCCAGTTCACACAGTAATTAGGTTTGCCACTCCCTCGGTTTTCCTTAGCACTCCCATTCTGGCACCTGGTTAACATTTGGAGGAATTCCACCCTCCCATAAGACCAGAAGGATACCTTCAGGTGGTGGGAAAGAGCGGCTTCTAGATCTCCAACCAACACACCCCATTTGTAGGAGAGGTCAACCCTGAGAGAACCCTGTGCAGCTCAGGCCCTGCACTCCCCGTGTGTCAGTGGCACATTCTGGCCTCTAGAGGGATCTCCAAGAACGAGGAAGAGAAGGAGGAGCAGCTCTGTGCTGTCACAGAATGGGGGTCCAGGAGCTTAAACCACAGCTGTCCTAGAGAAGCAGGCTCATGTCTTGACCGCATCCCTAAATGCACGGATGTCCTTTGGTATCCTTTGGGCAAGCATGTCCTACTTGATTTGCCCTGCCTGGTCTGTTTTTCCACTGGTCTCTGCCCACTGGAAACATTCATCTATGACTGCACCTGGCCTCACCGTCAGTGCCCACGCCCTCCCTTAATGAGGACTCCAGAGTTTGGCCAGGCACAGTGGCTCTCACTTGTAATCCCAGCACTTTGGGAGACTCAAACGGGTGGATCACCTGAGGTAGGAGTTCGAGACCAGCCTGGCCAACATGGTGAAACCTTGCTGCTACTAAAAATACAAAAATTAGTTGGGCATGGTGGCTCACGCCTGTAATCCCACTTACTCGGAAGGCTAAGGAAGGAGAATCACTTGAACCTGAGGGACGGAGTTTGCAGTGAGCCAAGATCGTGCCATTGCACTCCAGCCTAGGTGACAGAGTGAGACTCCACCTCAAAAAAAAAAAAAAAAAAAAAAAAAAAAAAGGCCAGGCATGGTGGCTCATGCCTGTAATACCAGCACACTTTGCAAGGCCAAGGCAGGCAGATTACCTGAGGTAAGGCATTTGAGACCAGTCTGGCCAACATGGTGAAATCTGATCTCTGCTAAAAGAAATAATTCTGTGCCTATAGTCCCAGCTATTCAGGAGGCTGAGACTGGAGAATCGCTTGAACCTTGGGAGGCAGAGGTCATGGTAAGCCAAGATCACACCACTGCACTCCAGCCTGGGTGACAGAGTGAGACTCTGTCCCAGAAAAAACAAACAAAAAGTAGACCATGCATTCACACATTATAAATGTGTGTACATGGCAAAGTCCTCTCACTCCTGTCTTTTGCTTCCTCACTTCTCCCTGAAGGAAACAGACCTTACCGGTGCCAGTGTGTCATTCCCAAGGTTGCCTACGTGTTTACAAGTAAATCTGTGTATTTAGGATGGTCCCCTCTTGTTATAGAAATGGTAGCACATTATATATGCTATTCTGCACATTTCCAACAATACTTTATTTATTTTTTTTCAGAGCATCTCACAGATCCATTTATTCATGCCATGAACTAAATGGTACTCATACAAGTGTACAGTGATGTTCCACGCGCCCCATCTAACACAGCTTGCTCGAATTTACAGGCAGACTGATGTTTTCCTTCACATGTACTCCAAGTAAGCTGGTTAATGATCACAAGCAGGTGCTGCAGCTTTCGCAGCCTTATTTCTTTTATTGGCGTTACGGAGTTCATAAGCAATGAAGCCCATCAGCCCCATTCCTACCCAAATCTCCTGGTAAACTTGGGTATAGTAGGGCTTCAAGGGGATCCACATTTTTTTTTTTTTTTTTGAGACGGAGTTTCGCTCTTGTTGCCCAGGCTGGAGTGCAGTGGGCTCACCGCAACCTCTGCCTCCTGGTTTCAAGCAATTCTCTCAGCCTCCCAAGTAGCTGGGATTACAGGCATGTGCCACCACGTCCAGCTAATTTTTTGCATTTTTAGTAGAGATGGGGTTTCACCATGTTGGCCAAGATGGTCTCGGTCTCTTGACCTCGTGATCCACCCTCCTCGGCCTCCCAAAGTGCGGGGATAACAGGCGTGAGCCACCGCGTCCAACCCAGGGATCCACATATTTTTAAATAATACTTTGAAGCATCTAAAATATGGAACTCTTCACAAATTTGCATGCCATCCTTGAGCAGGGGCTATGCGAATTTTCTCTGTATCGTTCCAATTTTAGTACATGTGCTGCCAAAGCGAGCACTCCAGCAATACCTTAAAAGCATGTAACTGGAATGAGGGTCTGATTCCAGGCAGCCAACGCGTATGATTAGCAAGGTAAGGGTGTGCAGATGAGAGCAGCAATTAACCAAAGCCGATAGAAACTGCAGAAAGAAAACACCTCAAAGAGTTGCTGAGAGCTAAATTAATTGAGTGAGGCTGGAATTATAAAAGGAATTTTAAAAAAGGCCTGGAACACATTACTGTTGATGACTTCGTGGCTGAAATCACTCCAAAAGGCAGAGCCCTGGTACCTGACAGTGTAAAGAAGGAGCTCCTGACCAGGCGCAGTGGCTCATGCCTGTGATTTCAGCACTTTGGGAGGCCTAGGTAAGTGGATGGCTTGAGCCCGGAAGATCAAGACCAGCCTGAGCAGCATAGCAAAACCTCATCTCTCAAAAAAGAAAAAATTGGCTTGACATGGTGGCACATGCCTATAGTTCCATCTACTTGGGAGGCTGAGATAGGAGGATCACTTGAGCCCAAGAGTTTGAGGCTGCATTGAGCTATGATCACTGCACTCCAGCCTGGGTGACAAACCAAGATCCTGTCTCACACACACACACACACACACACACACACACACACACCCCTGTGGTTTTGACTGCTGCTAGTTTCCAGAGTGTCAGAGGCTAAGTACAGGCCAAACCCCATTAGAAACAGGGTCCTCTTGCTGGTCCGAGTGCAGTGGTGTTTACAACCAATTGATCATAGCCAGTTACAGATTTCTTTGTTCCTTCGCCACTCCCACTGTTTCACTTGACTAGCCAAAAAAAAAAGAAAAGGAAAAAAAGAAATAAGGTCAGCATTATTGTAGTGAACAATAAGCACAGAAGGACAGTAATCAGAATGGCTTTACTCAAGATACTCTCCCTAATGTCTCACTGATTGTGATGTCCCTAGGTATAAAACATATGGGAACTGCACTAAAGTCTTACTTATTATTTTTTTGAGATGTAGTCTTGCTCTGTACAGAGTGCAGTGGCTTGATCTCAGCCCATTGCAACCTCTGCCTCCTGGGTTCAAGCGACTCTCCTGTCTCAGCCTCTCAAGTAGCTGGGACTGTAGGGGGGCACCACCACACCTGGCTAATTTTTTAATTTTTAGTAGAGATCGGGTTTCATCATGTTGGCCAGGCTGGTCTCGAACTCCTGACCTCAAATGACACTCCTGCCTCAGCCTTCCAAAGAGCTGTGATCACAGGTGTGAGCCACCATGCCTGGCCCTACTTGATATTAATAAGTACAAATGTTCTCCCCACCACCGCCCCCATACAGAGTCTTGCTCTGTCACCCAGGCTGGAGTGCAGTAGCATGATCTTGGAACCTCTGCCTCCTGGGCCTTAAGCTATCCTCCTGCCTCAGCCTCCAGAGCAGATGGAACTACAGGCATGTGCTGCCACGCTCAGCGAATTTTTCTATTTTTTCGGTAGAGACAGGGTTTTGCTGTGTTGCCCAGGCTGGTCTCTAGCTCTTGAGCTCAAGCGAGCCACCCAACTTGGCCTCCTAGAAGACTTAGATTATAGGCGTGAGCCACCGCAGCTGGCCTAATAAGTGCAAATGTTATAATTATGGAGTCCCCAGACTTGATTTCAACCGTATTGCAGGGTCATTATCCCTCATCCAGTTCTCACACCTGAGCCAGTTTATAGACCTGCAGCTGCTTGAATAAAGGGGAATAAAAGCCTGGGAGGAATGAGCCTGCAGCATGGCCATACAGACAAATGATGCTCTTCCTCCTTGCCTTGCCACGGGGGATCTGTGGCCATTTATCATAGTGATTGTGTATTGTAGAAAGGAAAATACCCAGAATTGTCAGGAATTGCTGGATGCGCTTGCTCTCGCTCTCTTTCTCTCTCTCTCTCTCCCCCTTTCCCTCTCCCCCTCTCTCTCTCCCTCTCCCTCTGTCTCTCTCTCTCTCTCTCTTTTTTTTTTTTTTGAGATGTAGTTTTGCTCTTGTTACCCAGGCTGGAGTGCAATGGTGCGATCTCGGCTCACCACAACCTCCGCCTCCTTGGTTCAAGCAATTCTCCCGGCTCAGCCTCCTGAGTAGCTGGGATTGCAGGCACGTGCCACCATGCCCAGCTAATTTTTTGTATTTTTAGTAGAGACGGGGTTTCACCATGTTGACCAGGATGGTCTTGATCTCTTGACCTCGTGATCCACCCGCCTCGGCCTCCCAAAGCGCTAGGATTACAGGTGTGAGCCACCGCGCCCGGCCCTCTCTCTCTTTTTTTTAAAAGATGGGGTTTCACCATGTTGGCCAGGCTGGTCTCAAACTCCTGACCTCAGGTGATCTTCCCACCTTGGCCTCCCAAAGTGCTGGGATTACAAGCGTGATCCACCACACCCAGCCTGGATCCTGTCTCTTAATTAATGCTATCTCCTGAGGAATCTGTGTGTGGTTGGCTGAATAATATTCCCCAAAATGTAGTCCACTTCCTAATTCCTGAGTAGAAACTGGGAATAGGTGGCTTGGCAGATGTCATTAAGCTAAGAATCTTAGATGGGGAGATTATTCTGGATTATCCATGTGGAGCCAACGTGATCGCAGAGGTCCTCATGAGAGGGAGTCGAAAAGGTTAGAGAGAGAGAAGGACATGTGAGGACAAAGGAGAGATTGGAGCAGGCGTCCCCAAACTACGGCCACCGGGCCGCATGCGGCCCCCTGAGGCCATTTATCCAGCCCCCCGCCGCACTTCAGGAAGGGGCACCTCTTTCATTGGTGGTCAGTGAGAGGAGCACAGTATGTGGCGGCCCTCCAATGGTCTGAGGGACAGTGAACTGAACCCCTGTGTAAAAAGTGTGGGGACGCCTGGATTGGAGCATGTGGGGCTGCAATGCAGACAACCTCTAGAAGCTGGAAACAGCAAGGAAACAGACTCTCCCCTAGAGGCTCCAAAAATAATGCAACTGGCCAACCCATTTCAAACTCCTGACCTCCAAAACTATAAAACTCTGAATTCTAGTTGTTTCCTAAAACGGCCGTAGGCTCTGTGCATGTTGACTCACACCTGTAATTCCAGCATTGTGGGAGGCCAAGGTGGGACGGCTGCTTGAGCCCAGAAGTTTAAGACCAGTCTGGGCAACATAATGAGACTTCATGTCTTAAAAAAACAAACAAACAAAAGAAAACAGCTGGGTGCACCTGTCTAATAAAAAATTAGTGACTGGCAGTGAAACCCTGTCTCTACTAAAATACAAAAATTAGCTGGGTATGGTGGTGTGCACCTGTAGTCCCAGCTACTTGGGAGGCCAGGGCAGGAGAATTGCTTGAAGCCGGGAGGTGGAGATTGAGGTGAGGTGAGATCACGCCACTGCACTCCAGCCTGGTGCCTGGTGAAAAAGCGAGACTCTGTCTAAAAAAAAAAAAAAAAAATACTACCTGGCATGTGCCTGTAGTTCCCAGCTACTCAGGAGACTGAGGCAGGAAGATCACTTGAGCCTGGGAAGGAGAAGTTGAAGTGAGCAGTGATTGTACAACTATGCTTCAGCCTGGGTGACAGAGCAAGACCCTGTCTTAGAAAGAAAAGAAACAGCTGTATATGCAAATTGACCCACAAAATGCAGAAGGAGCCAAGAAGCCAAGAAGGAAGACAAATCCAGTTTGTTGGTCAAGGGTGATTTATCGCCGGGCGCGGTGGCTCAAGCCTGTAATCCCAGCACTTTGGGAGGCCGAGGCGGGTGGATCACGAGGTCAAGAGATTGAGACTATCCTGGTCAACATGGTGAAAACCCGTCTCTACTAAAAATACAAAAATTAGCTGGGCATGGTGGCGCGTGCCTGTAATCCCAGCTACTCAGGAGGCTGAGGCGGGAGAATTGCCTGAACCCAGGAAGCGGAGGTTGCGATGAGCCGAGATCGTGCCATTGCACTCCAACCTGGGTAACAAGAGCAAAACTCCGTCTCAAAAAAAAAAAAGGGTGATTTATAGGGGAACATGTGAACAGAAGTATAATCTTGGGTGGCAGCAGGACAAGTAGATTTCTGCAGTTACTCTCCAGACCTAAGGGAAAGGATACATGTGCTCTACAGGAAGTGTGCAAGACAGGCCGGGTGCAGCGGCTCACGCCTGTAATCCCAGCACTTTGGGAAGTCGAGGTGGGTGGATCACAAAGTCAAGAGTTTGAAACCAGCCGGGCCAATATAGTAAAACCCCATCTCTACTAAAAATACAAAAATTAGCCAGATATGGTGGTGCATGCCTGTAATCCCAGCTACTTGGGAGGCTGAGACAAAAGAATTGTTTGAACCCGGGAGGCGGAGGTTGCAGTGAGCGGAGATCAAGCTACTGCACTCCAGCCTGGGTGACAGAGCGAGATTCTGCCTCAAAAATAAATAAATAAATAAATAAATAAATAAATGTTCAGGACAGGACAGGCATGGTGGCTCATGCCTGTAATTCCAGCACTTTGGAAGGCTGAGGCCTTCCAAAGGTCAGAAGTTCGAGACCAGCCTGGCCAATACGGTGAAATCCCGTCTCTACTAAAAATGCAAAAATTAGCCAGGCATGCCTGTGTGGGAAGTAGAAAAATTCCTTTTTAAAGTTCCTTTCTTGTTAAAGAATAAGTGTGCAAATAACTTTGTTAAGCCCCATCCTATGTAGCTGTTAGACATGCTTACAGGCACATAGTACATTCTATGTCCTTGTACTTTAACCAAGATATCTGTGCTGAACCTGCTCACAGGCATGTCCCAACTCTCCATTGCTTTTACCTGTTTAGAAAAGTTTTAAGTTTTTAGCCAATCGGCTTTCAGTTTAGATTGTGAGGTTTGTCTCTAGCCAATCACTTGAACCCAGGAGGAGATCAGACATAGCAGTAAGGACAACCCCAAATGCGTAAGGAATAAATTTGTGTATCTTCTCTTTGCACTCTCGTGGCAAGATGGCTAGTGAGAATACCCTTCCTGCATGCAGCCCAGGAAGTAAAAATTGCATTGCTAAAAGATCCTTTGTCTCAGTGCTAATTTTTCTTTGCAGCA